TCATCTTCTCATTTTTTATATACCCTTTCTTCTACCTCCTCCTCCTCCTTCTCCTCTCCTTCACCTCCTTCCTCCTCCCTAGCAAAGTGCCTCCCTCTCCCCGCCCATAGCACCGCCAAGGCTCCTCAGCGCCCCCAGCAGAGCACAGCGGCGGGTCAGGAGTGCGTCACGTCCTGGCGATACAGCTGTCATATAAACCCCGGCTATAGATGTACCCACTACACATAAAACTGTTTCATAGTCGGTAAAACCTGGACCCCTGCCTGCCACACCCAATATCTGCCACACTCATTATCTGCCACACCCATTATCTGCCACGCTCATTATCTGCCACAACCATTACCTGCCAAACCATCTACCAACCACCATCTCCTACCTACCACACCTTTATCTGTCACCCCTTTACCTGCCACACCCCTAACTGCCACACCATCTACCAACCACCACTCCCTACCAACCACATCCCCTACCTGCCACCACCCCCTACCTGCCACACCCCATACCTATCACACCATGTACTAGCCTGCCACACCATGTATCTGCCACACCATGTACCAACCACACCCCTACCTGCCATTATTGATCTTTATGTTTAATGTACAAATCACAATTTATTTCCCCTCGTACAGACATCAACACATCCCAACACATCCCAACACATCCCAACACGTCCAAACACATCCCAACACGTCCCAACACATCCCAACACGCCCCAACACATCCCAACACGTCCAAACACATCCCAACACAGCCCCCTCTTATCCCCAGCACACACATACACAGACGAACACATTTCCTGTACCAAGAGGAAAGGAAGGAGCAGTTTTTTTTGAGTGAGTGAGTGAGCGAGTGAGTGAATGAGTGAGGCGAGTTCACGTCACATCCACGCCAGTCACCTCCACTCACCTGTTCATAATAACAGCGGGTCATTTCAGAAGGTCAATGTTGTTATGGCAGTGATCTCTGTGTACAAAGGTCCCTCCAGTGTTTACAATGGTCCCCCTGAGTCAGTGTTTACAAAGTTCCTACCTGAGTCAATGTTTATTAATGTCCCTCCAGTGTTTACAAAGTTCCCCTCCAGTGTTTACAAAGGTCCCTTCAGCTTGGTGTATTCTGGGAGGTGCTGTTCATGCCCTTACTCTTAATATTTTACTAGCATTTAAATATCACGTTCACCTACACACTGAGGAGTTCTTGTGCGTGTCATTGGGTCAGAGAGAGAGAGAGAGAGAGAGCTGACTATGTGTGGGGGAGGGAGTGTTCTGTATGTGTGGCCACTACTCTCCTTCCTGCCTGGTTCAAGGGCGTCTCTGCTAAAGGTGGTGGTCAATAGGACTCCTTCAGGGCTCCACACTGCCTCCCCCTCCCTTTCCTAGTCTTCCACTATATTATCTTTGGGTGATTTTTATTGTAGTTTTCGTGATTTATATGGCAACTTGGTGATTTATATTGCAGTTTCGTGATTTATATAGCAATTTCTATATTTTCATGTCAGTTTAGGGAATAATATAGCAGTATCGAGCCGTATATCTTTCTTATTGCAATATCTACTTCCTTATTGCAATACTGTGTTTCTTTTGAGATATCTTATTTTATTCCCATATCGTTTGCTTAAGGTAATACAATTTGGGGGGCGGCAATTTATTTATTTATTTATTTGTTTTTATTTTTATTTTTTGGCCGTGTCATTTTGAATGTCATATCGGATCGTCATTGCGGTGTCATTTTTTTTTTGGGGGCGATGTCAACCAAGTACAGACGTATTGAGTACGATAAATAAAATGAGATTGTACTCAAGAGGTCAAGTTATCATAGAGTTTTCATATACTACCGAACCACCAATGTAGGAAAATTTGTAAACCTGTTTATATTTGAGCAGAGGTGGAGGGAAGGTGTGAGAAGGTGGGTTAGGTTAGGTTAGGTTCAATTTTGAATGTTTTCTAACTATAGACCTAACCTAACCTAACCTAACCTAACCTAAGCATCAACTGTGTCTAATTATACAGTGACTTTTTACTGTGACTTTTCCTCCGTAGGTCTAACTGAGTTTTATCACCAGCCATATCCCTCATTTAGGCCTATGAAATTATCTGGAACGCCAACTCCTCCTCATTATTACAGAGAGATTGACAGTCACAATGTTACGACAATCAACTGTCTGGCCTTGGAACTTGAGTGGAATAAGTAAACACAGACAGTCATTTGTAAAAAAAAATAAAATAAAAAATTGAACATCACGAAGCGTATTTTTAACGTAACTCGATTCGGTTCACATCTACACAAGGACGACTTAAACTAAAGGTAAATTAGTGTTATATATACGAGTAGTGTGTTCCATAGTTGGTTAAGGTATAATTTTGTTTTAATCTGACGTGGTAAAGGAGACAGTGTACTAATTCTATCACGGAACTTCAGCGCCTTCTGCAGCCAACAGCTCGACCTTAATTTCGTCTTTTCAATAATATCTCTCTAGATCTGTTATTGTTCTCCTTATACATACGAGGTCTTATTTGTTTATCTACTTCCTCCTGTACTTTTTTTTTCTTGTCATTCCTTGTTTACTGTGATGGGGAGGAGACACGACGGGAAGATTTGGGGCAGCCACAGAGTCTTCCCTTTGTGTTGAACGCGCGAGAAATTAAGGGTCCACGATTGAGTCTCCACACACACACACACATACACACACACACACACACACACACACACACACACACACACACACACACACACACACCTAAGATAAACCTATGAAAGAGACACAAGCTTCTCTCGGTCTCCCTCTCAAGCCTCTCAGATACCAAGTCCACCCACACCTTATATACGGGCAGCCGAACACTTGAACCTAACTACACAGCTTCTGGAGATGGCTAACGTTACTATAAACTATAACCTTCCCTTGCCTCGGTCTCAATTAGATTGTTGTCCATAACGAGACTACCTTGGATGTCAACAGTACTGGGTGTGTATAGACAGCCCTGATCCCCCCTCCCTCCCTCCCTCTCAGATCATCATGGCATGTCTAAAAACCTTCACCTACAGGTTCCCAGCCATCACCGTCACCCCCCCCCCTACTCCTACAGATAGTCCTCAGGTACTTCATGAACTAAGAGTCAGAAGCCAAGGATAAAACTTATCGTGTTTCTCTGTTGGTCGGCCGCTGTGTCTCTTAGCCATGGACAACCTGTGAGGGAACACCTAACTAATCAGTCCCTGCACCTGAGTCTCAATGAGTTGATTTATGTCTTTATCATTCTACTACTACCATTAGCTCACGGCACATTTGACCTCGTTCTCCTGATACAAGATGGTCCCTTTAACTCATTCAGTGAAGCCTTTAATCATTATGACTACTTAGCTCAATAGCCAGGTAAAAGTCCAGGTGAGTGTAATGGTTAATGAGTTTGTAGATCCCATCAGTCGACTTAGTTAAGTACCTCACTATAACTAATCACATACTTATAACACTTATGCATTACACAAGGACAATATCTTCTCATAAGTCCAAAACCTTCCCAGTACAGTGCCGCTGGCTGACTGGCTGTGTCGTCCCCTTGTCCAGTGGATCGTTATTTTCTTGTTCAATGGAATGCACCATCCTGCCTTCCACCCATACTGCTGACAGCTTTACAGTGAATACAGGCTGTCTCTCTCTTACAAAAAATGTATTCACTCTGCCTGATAGATTTCCGTGGTGATCGTGTGAATGTTTCTCTTAACAGCAACATTTGTCTTCACTTGTTGACGTGTGTGTGTGTGTGTGTGTGTGTGTGTGTGTGTGTGTGTGTGTGTGTGTGTGTGTGTGTGTGTGTGTGCGTGTGAGTGTGTGCTCCATTTTGAGCCATTACCAGAAATTAATTTACATATCAAAGGAAGAATACGACTATTTCCTTACAAAAACAGTATTGTAATTGCTGGATTAGTTCTTGACAAAACAGAAGGTAACACAGGTATTATTTAATCATTCGTGTTTATTATTCTTAACATTGATTATTATTAAACAAATATAGTACACCTGGAACTTGGTTAAGGTGTGCAAAATATTTATTACATCTAATATAAATAAATTCTTTCTTCATTTACCTTCTTTTAACTTGTGTATTTTCTTTTTCTTTCATCTTTCTTCTTCGTTCTTCATGCACTCTTCATTGTATAGAACCATTTGACGCCAGGATCTTAAAATCTCAGAAGAACTTACGATTTTTTCAGTAACCAACAAGAGAAATTTATCCCTTATGCGCGATGCTAATCACTTGAGTACGATGTTAACCCACTGAGTACAGTTAATTAGTCCATTGAGTACGATGCTAACCCACTGAGTACAACGAATTAGCCCATTGAGACTCTGAAGTGAAGAAAATTAAGAGGTTTGTGTGTGGTAAGTCGGACTCCGTATAGGAACAACTCTCCCCCACACTGAAGAGATATATCTTAATGTCGGGGGAAAGTAAAACTGTTCTCATTATAGCTGAAAAAATATATATGAATGTGAACCACGAGTCGTAATGTAGCCTCGGTTTCTGCAGCACGACACTGTGTGGTGAGATAGAGGCATCCGGAGGAAACACACACACACACACACACACACACACACACACACACACACACACACACACACACACACACACACACACACACACACACACAGGTTAACAAGGCCGTGCTACGCATCGTCCAGACCAAGGTCTATATATAGACCTTGGTCTGGACTACACACATGACTGAGCAGGTGTGGGCGAGGCGAGGCAGGTGACCCAGGCGGTGTAGGCCAGGCCTCTCTCTCACTCCTCACTACCCAACAAATCTCGTTAACCAGTACACCAGTAACATTAACCAGTACACCAGCAACATTAACCAGTACACCAGCAACATACTGTAACTAGACCTGTAGTGACAAGGAATAATGCTGTACCGGATAAGTAATGAAACCAATCAGTGGGTAGCAGCAGTTGGCTCACAGGGGAATATGGAAGAAAATAACAACTGTAGTTTACAACACCTACTTGTACAGACAGGGCAAACAGTTGATCTTTCGCTTCGCCAAGTTCTCGAGTAAGTGTGGCAAAGTTTTGAGCACAGGCTGGCGAACAAACCCCTACGCCGTAGGGCTGAGTGGCGGGGGCGTGGCGACCTCGGCTCACAAGGTCTCTGGTGGCAGCTCCTTGCGGCAGTCTTGACGGCTCACTTTTCCTTTCATCGGCTGTGGGCGCGACGCGGCTCTTGACATCGGTGGCAGCGGCTCCTGATGACGACGAAGTTTGGCTAATCCCAGCAGCCGTGGCAGCCGGTAAAGAAGTCCTTGGGGTGGCAGTGAGTGGTGGCAGGGTGGTGGTGGTGGGGCGTGTAGGAGATGTATGGGTCACCTTTCTTGTAATACTTATGCCTCCACCGGCCCCCTGCCCACCCTTCACGCCACCGGCCCCCTGCCCGCCCTTCACGCCACCGGCCCCCTGCCCGCCCTTCACGCCACCGGCCCCCTGCCCACCCTTCACGCCACCGGCCCCCTGCCCGCCACTTACAGCACCACTTCTACCCTCACTCAGGGCCTGACACTTTGGGCCGATGTGGGTGGCTGGGAAAGGTGTGGTTGCCCACGTGACGCTAACAGCTGAGGGCGTCACGCCGACACAACTGTCCGTCACCACGCACGTGCTGTCACCCAGGGAGATGAGGGAGGTGACGGGCACATAAGGCTCACTGGTAGGGGAGTTGTTGGGCACGCTGGGGGTCGGGCTGGTCGACCTGGAGTAGAAAAAGAGTGGAGAATGGTCATGTTGGAGCGAGGGCGAGGGCAACACGTCACTCTTCCTCTGGCTGTTACCCGCTGCGTGTCGCTCGTCATACACGTCCCAGTCTAGCTCAAACTGAGAGTGTCCGGTCGCCATGGTAACCAGCAGGCTTGGCTGGCTGGGGCGGCAGTACACTGGCAGCCACAGTGTGTTAAGGCTCTGTGTCGGCCAATACACTCACTCTTACAGTATAGTTTGGTGCAGACGTTCTCATAATTGACTTGCAATGACGAGTAAGTAATTATGCAAGACCAACATCACGTAAAATGTACACGAATAGTATGTATCGTACGGTACATCACAGATAGATTCCTACTGCCAAAAACGTGACATATTTATCTGTTTATCACAGCGTAAGAGACTAACTTCACCCTCCCGTCTGTCATTCTCGTCGTAGACAGATTACATCTTTCCTCCCAAATTTCACTTGACTTTCTCTCACATTTTCTTTGCGGTAGTGGACACAGCGTAGCGGACTACAGCGGATTCACGTTATCTTCCGCGAGTGGTTATCTTAACGGTATTTACGTAATATCACTCCAATCAAGACTAATATCGTGAAATATCGAGTTGCAGTAGATAATTTATTTGATTTCTTTTGTTTTTGTTTTGTTATAGAGCGAGCAGGCGTGAGCAGGGATAAGGACGCGTCTGGGCGCCCATCACTACAGTCAAATTCTCCGATAAACTTCCTACCTATGACCTCGCGTACCAATGATCTGTGATATTTGGGTGCCCTTTCCCATGGCTATGGCATATATAAACGCCTGTTCGTAAGGTTTGCGAACTGTTACTGACAAAATAACGAAACTATCGCTCGACCTGCTGCGCTGAGGGGATAATCCCCTACAAAATGCTAAAGTGCGCCATATTTTCAACTATCTGTACGTTTAGAAGTGTAATGCCATGAAAATGTTAAAACTGATTATCAAATATAGAATTTACTTCTTATTTAAAACCCAAACAAAGTTATTTTAAGGTAAATTAAGTTTTATTAGAGCTCAAAATGTCTTTATTTACGTAGCGAAAATATTGAGTGGTGGCAACATGGGTGGCTCCCAAGGTCTGTTTTTATTTATTCTCAGCTCCTGAAAATGACGGCAAAAATACAGTCCCAAGCCATTTCCTCCATATTATCATCGTCGCATATCATCTCCCTTCAATTAATCAATGATATTAACAATTATTACATAAGATTAACTCTGCCCAACTCCTAAATAAAACATCGAACTCATATTACCTAATCGGCAACTCCCGGTATGAGATAACGTACTGTGTTCAGCTCATCAAAACACTTACAGTATATGGGTTAGCAGACGTAATATTAACCAAACACAAATATTAAACAAACTAACATACATTAAACATATTTTTTATTATCTAAATCTATAGAAAACGTGATGTGTGTTAATTTAGAGGTGACTTAAAACCAACACACACACACACCTCCCCCTCCCCCGACATTCACGCCAGCCAGCCGGGAGTTCCCCGTTGGCCCGCTCATTCCTCGCTCTGCTGTAACACTGGTCATACCATATACTGTTTCCTGTACCAACACCAACGAACATAAAAAAAACAAGAACAAAATGATAAATGATTTGAAAGGGAGGACGAGAAATACACCAAATTTATAATCAGTGTAAAAACTGGCCGAGTGGTGGTGGTTGGTGGTAGTGGTGGTGGTTGGTGGTAGTGGTGGTTGGTGAGGTGGGGTAGTAGTGGTGGTTGGTGTAGTAGGTGGGGTAGGTGGTGGTAGTGGTAGTGGTGGTGGTTGGTGAGGTGGGGTAGTAGTGGTGGTGGTGGTAGTGGTGGTGGTTGGTGGTAGGTGGTGGTTGGTGGTAGTGGTGGTGGTTGGTGGTAGTGGTGGTTGGTGAGGTGGGGTAGTAGTGGTGGTTGGTGGTAGTGGTGGTTGGTGAGGTGGGGTAGTAGTGGTGGTTGAGATGGTAATAAGTTGTCCAGGAGCTATAAATAACTACCAGAGATATTTTATAGAGGTGTATCTCTCTGTCTGTTTCTGTGTGTGCGGTTATAAACGTCTATCTGTCTGTGTGTGCGGTTGTAAATATGTGCCTGTCTGTCTGTCTGTCTGTCTATCAGTCTTTGTTAACCTCTGCCACCCATTATTCCACTTCTTCACTCCGTTAGATATGCAAATTATTCTGTCAGTGAACCAAACAAAACGCTGGTACATTATTATTATGTAAACCCGCCACATTTCTGGGTTTTTTCTTTATTTGCCTTTTTTTCTCGTACGTTCAGGTTAACAGAGCATCATTGTTCAGCTGAGTATGTTGACACTTGTGACTTGTGAAGAGTAATTGAGAACGTTTTAAGTGTCTTCAGGTAGGGGCATTGTCTTCGTCAGCTACCCCTTCAGACACACACACACACACACCTTCAGTTAGTCAGTCAGTCAGTATATAATGATGACTGCATGGGATTTAGTTACTGTATCATCTTTATCATCATCATCACCATCATCATCATCACCATCATCATCATCATCACCATCACCATCATCATCATCACCATCATCATCATCACCATCATCATCATCATCATCATCATCATCATCATCATCATCATCATCATTATTCCCAGTATAAACAAAGAAACGATTGATTCATTTATTACTTGGGGGTCCCTGGATGTCTGTACTGTACCTAATGTTTACCTAAGAGTAGGGAAGAGGTCGTTTTCTATGTCTCAAGTACAATCGTAGAGTTGGTGGTTACATTTTTTTTTTATTCCTACAATTAAATGAAAATTATATACGCTGGGGAAATTTTTTTTTTTGTGCTTTTTATTTTATTTAAGACGTTGATATGTTTTAAATAACAACCATATTATAAATAGGTTAGGTTAGATTAGTTTATTTTAATGAAACTATTAATTTTGTGTACAGGGGTATTATATGGATCTTTATAATTGCCTATGGCCTGTTAGAAGTTTAAACCAAAAATACAGAGAGAGAGAGAGAGAGAGTTCTACATAATGCTACACTAAAAATGATGTTCGACAGATATAGAAAACGAATAAATAATAATAATAATAATAATAATAATAATAATAATAATAATAATAATAATAATAATAATAATAATAATAATTGATGAAACTGCTAATAATGCATCCGTAAATATTTATCTTTATGATTTACCAAATAAAAATTGTTACATAAGCGAGTCTCTACATCAAGTCTACGGTGGAGTGTTCGTGTATTTCAACAACATGGTACGCGGCTGGCTGGCTGGCTCCTACACACTACTGGGCGGTTATTACGATAAACCTCTTGTCTTATGTAATTTTTTACCCTTGTTTTGTTAATAAATACGTTCTTCAGTCATGTCTACCCTTCATCACGATATTATTTAAATTGTGTTCATGTTATTAGTTCAGTTCGGCTTTTAATCCATTTTCTATGATTTCGAAATATAAGAAAACTTACTTTTATATACAATATTTAAATAATAAATGTGGTTTATTATCAATTAATGTACAACAGTGAAAAAAATGTATCTAGAAATATATTTTTTTTAAGCTAAGATAAAATTTGAATCTTGATTGATATATTTTAGTCGCTTTGTTTTTATTTATATATTTTAGGCTCGTTGTCTTTGAATATTTTAGGCTCGTTGTCTTAATTGATATATTTTAGGCTCGTTGTCTTAATTGATATATTTTAGGCTCGTTGTCTAAATTGATATATTTTAGGCTCGTTGTCTTAATTGATATATTTTAGGCTCGTTGTCTTAATTGATATATTTTAGGGTCGTTGTCTTTGAATATTTTAGGCTCGTTGTCTTAATTGATATATTTTAGGCTCGTTGTCTTAATTGATATATTTTAGGCTCGTTGTCTAAATTGATATATTTTAGGCTCGTTGTCTTAATTGATATATTTTAGGCTCGTTGTCTTAATTGATATATTTTAGGGTCGTTGTCTTGATTAGTATATTTTAGGCTCGTTGCCTTTACTATTCTATTATAGGTAAATATACGAGGAATTTTATCATTGTTTCCATGTCAATCAGAATACCGTCTTCATATCTGAGGGTTGGCGACCACAGTCCTCTACCCTAAACGTTCTCGGGCTGTTTTTTACCAATTATTCTAAGGTTTTGTAGCTCTTGTTTTTATATAGTGTTATTAATATATATTGACTTATGGGTGTGAAGTTTGGATAATTTATTCGTTGTTTGTAATGATGAAAATATCGTTAATTAATGCAACCTCTTGTCTTACATTTTAATACTTGTGAATATCGTAAACAATTATATGAGAATAATAACAGTTGTAATGTACTTGTAGAATTATCAGGTGTGGGTACTTTACAATAAGACCATTATAAGGGACTCGAGGTATCAGGAGTGTGGTAGTGAATGGTGTAAGTGTATCCCTGTCAACACACTCAGACGCAAAGGACAAGTTAATCACCCAGAGATAGACTTTTGTGGAAGGTTATTGTTGTAAGAAATAAATTTAGTGAACGGTGCTTGATAACACGACAGGTGGAGCAATAACAACACTGAAGCATCGTAATAGAAGAACATGAACAAGAAGAACAACAACAATAACAAGAACAAGAATGTATCGTAAGAAGGAATTTAATAGATAAAGAAACAAGAAATTTTACCCAAAAGGATCAAGTGAGGAGAAATTACGGCCATATTGGTTAGGTTAGGTTTGGGCTGTGTCAGGTGCCTCTAGTAAAAATAACAATGGGAGATTATTTTTTCCATATTTGACTCGTTGGAAATTGAATTCGACATGCAGATATGATTACGTCTGTGTGTGTGTGTGTGTGTGTGTGTGTGTGTGTTTACAATGACTCCTACAGGCACACAACACCCGAGAAAGAATCAAATATCAAAGAACACAACAAAACTCATAGGAACATTTGGGAACTTCATAGAGGAGACAAATGTTCTCTCGTGTGATATCATTATGTTGGTAGATATTTTGCAAGAGTCATCACTAGCTATGATTATAACACCCTCAAGGACCCGGAGCATAAACAAGGAAAAAAAAAGATACATTTGCATTTTTTGGTCGTCATAAATTTCCCAGTGTAACTTTTTCCTTCTGACGAAACAA